CCTTACACACCCGCACAGGTAAATACTTCTAGATACTGACCTCTTCAGATTAAAGTCCAAGGCACTTTTTACAGTGAACAGGTTAAAGCCATAGTTTAAAACATGCCTGTTTCTGGGTACAGCTCGGGTTTATGGCAATGTTGTGGGGACAGGCTGTTGTCATATGGGCCAGTCCCCACTCTTGTCCTCCAGCTGAGAGACTGGCCCTGAAGGAGGAATGTAAGCCCGGGACTGGATCCTGACCACAGAGACATGCAAGCAGCTCCTGCTGACAGGTGCATCGGCAGTGCCGAGACCCCAGCAGGGGGAAGAACACTTTGGGTGGAAGAAGGAGCAGAACTGGGTGCACCAGGACCCTCAGCCAAGAGCACCCACTGGGCAGGTGGTTCTGGAGCCCTGCCTGGTGCCTCATGGGGCTCTGAGGTGGCTCATCCCATGGAGAAGTAACTAATGCCATGGAGAAGCTTTTTCTCTCTCCTGCGAAAGCCTCTCTCTACAACCTCAAACCCTTCGGATACCTTTTAGGTGGGAGCTTGGAGTTAAGTGAGAAGTAGCTCAGACCAGTACAGAGCCTGGCAGCAGAATTTTACCAAACTGCTGAGCAATCCCCGCCATCGCCCCCCACCAAACATACCTGGTGGCCATGGCACAGGGCTCTGAGCTGCCTGGGAGATGCTGGGCAGGAGAAGCCCAAGGAAGAGTGGTGCAGAGGACCAGGAATCCCCTGGCAGCCCCAGACCTAGCTGGCAGCAGCAGAGGCTCAGCCCTGGCCTCTCAGAAGAACCAGCTTCTTTCCTCCATCAGAGCTGGTTTCTGCAGGGAGATTTCAGGTCGGGGGTCCAGCAAGGAGCATCCAGATCTCATGGCAGCTCATTGCTGCTAGGGCTTTGCCAGGTTGGACTGGCCTGGAAGGGTGAGACCAGCACAGCTCTGACAGTGGTAACAGTGTCACAGCATGGCAGTGACTGCAGCTCTTACCAGGAAGGGCCAGTGTAGGAACTTTTAGACTTTCTCTGGACAAAAGCAGCAGGAATTGGCCCCATAGGTGCTGCTCATTCCTGGACACATTATGCTCTGTGAAGACTGGCCAGGACAAAGTGTGGCTGCCAAAGAGCAGTTTAAGACTTATGATCCAGCAGAGATCAGGTCCAGCAGCTCAGTGGCTGGAGATAAGGAAGTGATGCTCTCTGGGGCTCAAGGAGTCCATGGAATCACAGAATCATGGAATCACAAAGTAGTTTGGGTTGGAAGGGATTTAAAGCTCATCTCATTCCACCCCATGCCATAGGACACCTTCCACTAGACCGGATTGTTCCAAGCCCCATCTAACCTGGCCTTGAATACCTCCAGGGATGGGGCAGACACAACTCTGAGCAGCCTGTTCCCAGCTGGAAGGCTGAGACAAAGCAGTACCTGCAACCTTGTCTCATTCCTCTTTCATGCTCAGGGTTTTGTCCTCCTATGCCATCATTTTCTGAGGTTGAGCAAAAGCTGCAAGTCCCCAGGGCAGGGGGTGAAATGTGAACTGGACATGTCCCAGTCTCTTCTCCCAAGCAACAAGTGAAAGGACAAGAGAAAATGCCTGCAAGTTGTGCCACAGGAGGTTTAGGTTGGATATTGGGAAAATTTCTTGCGTCTAAGTGTGGTCAGGCTCTGGTACAGGCTGCCCAAGACAGCAGTGGAGACCCCATCCCTGGAGGAATTGAGAAGATTTGTGTATGTGGCACTTGGGCACATGGGTTAGAGGTGGGCTTGGTGATGCTGGGCTAACAGTTAGACTTGATGTTCTTAGAAGACTTTTCCAACCTTAACAATTCCATAATTCTATGAAAATGCACTCTGCACCACTGCTTTCTCAAGACCTGTGTCCTGGAGGAAAAGGGGAAGTTTGACTCTTGCAGAGCTTGTGCCCAGGGAGCCGAGTCCCTCCTTCTGCTGGAGGAGACAATCTGGGGGGAATGGCTTTCCAGAACCTGGGAAAAATGGGGAGTCTGACCTTTCTTTAAGGAGAAGCAAAGCTCTGGTACCATTGGGAAACGCACAGATCCAGACCTGCTAGAGGTCAGCTTCCAAGTAATGGGAATAAGTACAAGGGAGATAAAGGATAACGACTTGGGTTCTTCACCTCTCCCTGCCTTCCTGTCCCCCATCCTCATTGGCAGTAGTAGCTGTACTCAGAAACAGACATTTTTGGCAGCAGCCTGGCATTGCTGCCTGCTAACAACCGTGTTGGGTACAAAACCATAATTGAAATTACCATAACCATCATAATATAGCAATATATTTCATAGTTAAAATAAACTATTATGCTTTCCCCTATCATTAAAAAAGAAGCGAGCAGTACAGAGGCAAGATGCAAACCCAGGTCAAAGCTCCTTAAGTCTGCACAGAAACATCCATGAGTTTGCAGAGAGACCGTGGAATTTTTCTGGTATTTCTAGGATGGTTCCTTGCAGGTGGTGCAGGAAGAAGAGTCGTGGAGCAAAAAAAAACCCCAAGACTGTGCCAAAAATGGGGTTGTCTGGGTTAGGTGGGTCCTGGAGGGGCATTGGGGATTGGCCTCATTGGACTGTGGGATCAGATGCTTGGCAGCTGCAGGAGGTCGGCATCTCTGCGATTTTCCTCTTGTGCTGTTCCTCCTCCTCGGTTGGTGATCTTGGCTCTTCTCTCTGTTTGTCCCAATGTCCCTTAGGGTATCCAAAGTGATCATCTCAGGTGTGTGGCCAGGACTGGCTGGGGAGCATTTACTGGAGTTGTTTACTGGGGCTGTGCCAGCCAAGGCTGCTGGTGACCAAGAGCTGCTGTCAGGGAGCAGGGCAGCAGCTCTGGGTGGGCACACTGGGCTGGGCTGCACCGGGGCTGGCCACACCATGCCTGCCCTCACTGTGGCTTCAGGTTGGCTCTGTGGTCCTGGCAGTGGGGCTAGAGGGGGGTTAGTCTTGGTGCTGGCCACAGTGGAGTCCAGTGCTGGGGGTAATGGATCAGGGCTACTGGGAAGAACTGGCAGAGGTGGGGGTGAATGGGCGGGATAGGGGCTTTGGGGATTGGGATGGGGATTCAGGGGTGTGGAATGGGGGGTGCAGGGGGTGGGATAGGGGTGTCGGGGTGTATGGGATGCAGGGTGTAAGGTGTAGGGTGCAGACCCTGGGCTGCCAGGTCCCAGGCAGAAGGGTTGTTTCAGTGCAGGTTGTGCTGAGGTGAGGCCAGGGGAGGGAGGGTGTGGGGCAGGGATCCACTGCCCCAGCCCTGTCGAAATCCCACGGCAGCAGCAGCTGCTCTGGCCCAGAACAAGGGTTCTGGTTCAATCCCAACACTCTCACCGTGGTCCTTACCACCTCCAGCTTTGGGGCCTGCCAACTGACAGCACCTGCTCTTGTCTCACTTGGTTGGATTTTCCAGACTTGGTCATGAGCTGGGCAGGGAGGCTCCTGGGTTCCTGCTGGCAATATTGATCTTTAAGAATCAATAGTTCCTCTGGCTCTCTGATGCCCCAGGACACGTCTTTGCACCTTGCCCCATGCACAGTGCCATTCCATGGGCAGTTTGCTCCTGTCTGAGGCCCAGAAAGCATTTTTCTCCACTAGCTGCCTGCAGGCCAGGGAGAACGCTGCATTTGAGACTCTTTCTCAGAATTTCTAACATATTCTCCATTGCTATGCTGGGAACCTCCTGACAGAGATGAGTAGGAGCTTCTGCTGGGCAAGATGGATGAGGGGGCACCCATAGACATATGGAGAGCAGCAGCTGGGCTGAGAATAGATCATGGGGGGCTTCCAAGGCAGCAGTGAATTCCCAGCCATCCACGGGATATCAATGATAATAATTACAAGAGCTTGGAAGAACAGCTCATTCCCAGAAGCTGTGTATCTCCCACTGGACAAGGACCAGTAGCAATGGGCATGTGCCTACCTGAAGGAAACAGGGATGACTGGGTTTGGTACCCTGCTACCAACACCTCTGCAGCACAGACATCTAATTTTGCAGCACTCCTGCTGTTGCCTTACAGCCTTCTTCCTCCTCCTTCTCCTCCTAGGGCCAGCATGGGGACAGTACTCCTCACTAACTACTGCTTTTTTTCTATGTAACTGCAGGGCACAAGTAGAGAAACCACCTCACACCACTGGCAGCAAAGAAATTCTTCAGCATTAGGGGTGTAGGGGTGGTGGTGCAGGAGGGTGTGTCTCTGCCCCTACGTGCGCACAAAATCCAGCATTATTTATGGAAGGGAAAAAGTTACAAAGGAGAGCATTACAGGCTGAGTATACCTGGAGTAACACAGTGACTGATTACAATTACTGACACTGCTGGGCAAGGTGTAATTAATATTGCAGAGTAATTACATAGTTACTTCATCTGTTTAAAAATATATAAGTATTCTCTGCTGAGTTTTCATGGAAAGCAGCAAACACCAACCCCAAAATTGGAGCCTGGCGCAGCTCCATGCAAGGATCCAGGAAAGCCAGAACACGACACTGGGGAAGAACTGAGGAGGAAAAAGGGAGAAATGGTGAAAGCAAAACAGAAAGTGGCTGGTTCCAGAAGCAGCTAAGTGATGTCAAGGGTACCTCAGGAAGCTGAACACCAGCAAAAAAGTATAATGGAGTCTGAGGTGCTGCACTTTGGCAGGCATGGGCAGCAGTGCCATTGCCAAGACGGTATCAGAGAGTGCTGCTGCCCTCCACCAAACCCAGCAGAAGTGGCACGAAGGTGATGGGCTTTGTTTTAAACAGATGAAGCACCTGCCCCTGCTAACACATCACTTTCCAGTGAGCTCCTGCTTGATCCTGGTGCCAACTGGGCTCAAGCACGGATGTTCCCAGCACAAGTGGAGACGGTTGGAGCTGATGGGATGTTCATCCAGCACTTCTGAGACTGCTGCAAAGAGCCCACTGGCTTTGCAAAATGCTGGGAGGCTCCCAGCAGGCAGTGATGTGAGCACCTGGAGACTCCCTCAGCGCCCGGGCTGGCCTGCCAGCCCCACGGGCTGGGGGCAGCCCTGCGTGGCCCTGCACGCTGTAGGCACTGCTTTCCTGGCTCTGGCACGTGTCTCCAGGCAGGATATGACACTAAGGACCAGAAAGAAGAAGTATCTGTTGTTCTTCTCTGGGTAGAAAACATTCACAGCTCCAGAGAACTCCCCAGGAAGGTTACAGCCAGACATTGTCACCCAGCTGTCAGCGTGAGGGGGCTGTCCTGTGGATCCTGGCAAGGAGATGGGATGGAGCATCGGCAGCGTCAGCCAGAGCCTGCATAACGAACCCCCCACATTGGCATCTGCCTGGCGAGGTTTGGCAAATCGTGAGAGGGGCAGGGGGCGAGGGGAGTGCCCCAGGGAGAAAAGCTCTCCCTCCGGTGTCTCCGTTGCTTCAGTGCTCCTGACTTGGTGTTTTGTTTTGTTTTGTTTTGTTTTCAAATGTGAAGACCTGAGATTGAGCGTGGGTTTTCCGTCTCTCACCGGACGCCACGGCACAGGCTGGCCCAAGGCATCACCTTCTGTCCCCTTCCTTCACCACGTGTAGAGGCACCTGAACGGGGATGCAATTCCCGATACCAAGGCGTTGGCAAAGCTCCGAGCGTTGCTCGGCACTGCTGGTCCCACTGGCTCCAGCTGAAGGGTCCTGCAGCGGTTCAAGGACCAGAAGAAAGTTCACAGAGACCTCATGATCTGTGTGGAAATGCTTCCCCTGTCCACGGTGGGGCCGAGGGGCTGCGTTTTAGCAGCTGCTTGAGCTCGTGTAAGGGGTGGGGAAGGAGGTGGAGCTGACCCCAATGGGGCTCTCAGAGAGAGGTGTTTGGGGGGTGCCCACTGGCACACCAACCCCCCGGGCCTCCAGGACAGCGGTGAGCAGGCGCTGCTGCTGCTGGCGCAGCATGTCGGCCATCAGCAGGGGCAGGGAGTTGAAGCTGGCACTGAGCTGCTCCAGCTTGGATTCCAGGCCACTGATCTGCTTTTCCAGGTCCTCGCTGCGGTCATTTAGTTCTGTGATGAGGTCGTACATCACGTTCTGCATCTGGGGAGGGGACACAGGGGACAGTGGCGGGGTTAGTACCATGGCTAGAGGGGTTGGTGCCACAGCCACTAGCAGAGCTCACCTCTTTACCCCTTTCTGCCCCATTTCAGCCCACCCCAGGTTCTCTGAGGGTTCTGCGACTGCAGTTTGGCTCATCCCTGGCCATCAAAGCAAGGAAACTCTGCTGGCCCTGTGCTGCTGAGCAGTGGTATCCCTTGCAAAAAGGGTTGCAGGGACCCCTTGGCTCATGTATGTGTTTCTCCTCCTGCTTTGCAAGGGCAGCCATCCCATAGCAGCTATTCCTTGCTGACATTTACTGAGTCGGAGCATTTTGCGGTCAGCCAAGTCTGCTTTAGTTTTTCCAAGTGAAGAAAAACACTCAGTCTGGCCAAGCCACAAGGTCCCTATGGGACTTGCCTTCGAGAGGTCGACAAGGGTGTTGGCTTGGTCACTCAGCTTCCTCTGCTCCATCTTCACGCTCCGTAACCTGGGGAGAAGGAAAGAGCACATGGCTGTACTCCCTCCCCTCTTTCAAACAGCATCTGGAGACCTGCCTGCATCCTGGGCAATGGAAAACTGTCCCCACGCCCCTGCCAGGAACAGGATCCTGGTTTATCTGGAGCTCAGTCTGCCCCCAGCCCACTGCACAGCCTCTTACTGGTGGATGGCTTGTAGGAACTTCCTCTGATGCTTTCTGACTTTAGCATGGTCGATCTTCTTCAACAGCTTGGTGTGCTTGTAGATAAGCCATGTTTCCCGCAGGACGTTGGCTGCTGCATTCTTGATCTGAAAAGGAAGAGTGGCTGCAGGTCACCAGCCATGTGAGATTTCACAGAGACACTGATCTGGCTCTGCCATGAACCAATGTTGCAAGAGCACTTGAGCTGCCCCAGCTGGAGTGAGCTTTGCACCCTCACGATTTCCTGGACTGTTGCAAGGGATGATGAGCAGTTCAAGCAGCAGTAAGAGAAGGAAGAGCTGTTGGCCCTTGGTGCACTCACATCCCAGTCCTAATCTGCACTCATGCTCCAGCACTTGGCTCTTTGCCTACACACAAAGTTGTACCATAAGCCTCAAGAAAAAAAATCCCAAAGTTTTTCTTGATTCCTGCACCCATCTCCCAATCCTGGCAGGTCCCAATTGTGCTGCCAGCACTGGGACATGACTTCCACAGACTCTCCAGCTAAACCATAGCTCGGCTGCTCATCCCAGGAGGAACTGGCTGCTGTCTGCCTGGCATGGAGCCTGCAGATCCATATCAATGGCCAGTGGAGCAGGGCTGACCAGCTGTTTTGCTTTCCCAGACTGTTCACACCACGGTCCTGACTATTCCTGGGGTGTCAGGACTTTGTCTGGGGCTCTGCTCTCTGGGGTGAAGTGGGTGCCCTGGTTGCATCCCACCACTGGTTGCCTTCCCAAGGGCTGCACTGATGCTCATTTTGCCACCATCCCCTCTAAAACATATTCTAGTGTGCAGAGCCCATGATATGACCAACCAACCACTACTGTTGGTTTGCTGATGCTTTGCCATGATGGATGGTTGCTGCCAAAACCAGCAACCTCCTGCTGCTCCTGCATCCTACCAGGGATGTGACACCAGACCCTGGTATGACAGGGTCTCATACCATGAATGCCCCACTGCTGGCTCTGGGCGCCTCCTCAGGGGAACCTCATGGTGTCGTTCTTATTTGTGGTGGGCGCTGAATCACTGAAACCCACTTGTCTTCCTGACACCAAGAGGAGTGAGATCATGGTATGGAAAAGGATGGAGTATGCTCCCAGAGGGAGCACCACCTAAATCCCTGTAACAGAGCTGGTTCTCTTTATCTCAGCATAACTCTCACACCTGTGCTATATCTACAGCACTTGGACACCTTCCTCAGCAGTGGTACCTGCAGGATCCACATCTAAAGATGCCAACACCTTCCTCTCCTGTTGTAGCCTCACCCAGAGATGCTGGCACCTTCTTCCACTGTGGTACCCACTTTCTCCTGCCATGGTAGCCGAAATCCCAAGCTCCTGGCACCCAGTAATGCCCCCAACTCCTGCTGCCCCCCATGGCACCTTACCCGCTTTGTCAGTTGTGTGTCCATCATGAAGTTGTGGACGTGCTTCTCAGCTTTGGTGAGCTCCAGCTTCCTGGCCACCACAGCCACCACCAGTGCTGTACATCCAGCACCCTGTCCAGAGACATTAGTTGGGGAAGCAGTTTGTCACCGTCTTGTAACACCAGCACTCCCACCCTCATCCTTGCAATCCACTAATTAACTAAAGCTACGTGTCCTCCCCATTATCCTAAAAAGAAGATATTACAGAGCCTAGGTGTCCTTGATGATGGGCTGTGTAACTAATGGGAGAGGCCAGGGCTATTAACAAGGTTGGCAGTGGTCAGTGGTGAGCCTGTGCCACTGTGGGCCAGAGATCTGCCCTGTGCCAGTGCCCAGTGGGATGGGGACCCCTCCACTCCCAAGAGGTCTGGGGTGGGAGAGCAGTGGGGAAGCACCAGGCAGCATGGGTGAGAACAGAGAAGGGGCCCCAAATCAGGACCCTTCAAATTGCCATGTATCCCAACTGCACCAGCTGGGAACTCACTTATCCCAGCAATTAGGGCCAGATGTGTGTGGCAGCCATCATCTCCAGTGCACATCTGTGCCAAGCTGTTCTTTCCAGACCCTCCCTGCTGTGCTCCTGAGCTCTGCCCACTGCTGCTCCTACCAGCTGGGTTGCTTCCCCCTAGTGCTCTGGCAGGGTGCTGTCAGCCTTAAAGAGCTCTCCTTAAAGAGTCATTAATTAACCTGATACCCTGAATCCATCCTCAAAGGTCCTGCTGCACACTCGACTCTCACCACCTCTCTCTTCCTGATGGAGTTACTGCCCTTGGGGGAAGTCTGGGGACTGGGGGAAGCCCAGCAAAGCCTCCAACCCCAGTGGGTGTCTCTGTTCCCAGGGGTGAGGGGCAGTGCTGGGTGTAGAGGGACACTTTCACAGATGCTGTCTCACTTCAAAGTAACCACTGGTAGGGAAAGAGCTTTGGGAGCCTGCAGCACCGGGATCCCCTCAGCTGAACCAGCAGCTTCTCCTCTGCTGGCACTTGCTGCATCACCCCCATCCATAGGGATTTTCTCCCTTGCTTGGCTCCCACCAATAATATCAGCCTTGCTGTGTCTGACCTCATCCAAGACAGGTAAAAGACTTGAAGATAATATAGAAGTAATACTTCTTGGTGGAGCCTCCCCAGCTGATATTCATGGGGTGTCAGCTCAATCTGCCCTAGCTGGGAGGAGGGATGGCTCCATCCCCAGGGCCTGGAGCTGAGGTGGGCAGAGCTGGGGTGCTGATGGTTGGGGTGGATCTGTGGAGGAATCGTGACCACAGGGCCCCCAGCTGCTCCTTCAGCAGCCCTGGCTGGAAAGTCCCACAAGCCAGGAGATCTCATGGTGGTCTCCTTGGGGCAGGTACGCTGGAGGCCCTGGAGAATGGTGAGCTTTTGGCCAGAAGGAAAGGAACCCATGGCAGATGAGCAATGGAAGCCAGATGGTGTGGACCAGGATGGCCAAGGCATGCTAAGGGGCTCTTCTGCTCCCTGGGGACATCACTGACTCCACCAAAGCCTCTCCACCCTTACTGAATGTGGGTCCAAATCCACCTCAAATTCACCAGCTGAGACAACTCCATCAACTTCCAGGCTATGAGACCTCAGAGCTGAAGTCATTAGGCCTTGTACATGGACAAAACAGCTGAGAAACAGGTCCCTGTAAAATCCAGTGGCTCCACCTCTGCAATGGAGACAGGCAGAGCCCACAGAATGGACAATCAGCTTGGCATGGCCCTTACCATGATGCCAGTGAGCAGGCAGACTCCCTTCCCACAGTAGGTGTGTGGGACCATGTCACCATAGCCGATGGAGAGGAAGGTGATGGAGATGAGCCACATTGCACCCAGGAAGTTGCTGGTTACATCCTGCTGGTCATGGTACCTGCCAAGGAGACACGGACATCAGTGTCACAGCAGGGGACAGGGATGGATGTAGCAGAAAAGGGGGTACCTGGGCACAGTGGCTCCCCTGGCATGGGCTGTGCTGGGGTACAGGACTAACAACACAGCAGGATGTGCCATAGTAGCAGTGGTTGCACAATCTCTGGCACTGGAAAACCCACATGGACAAAATGAGAGCAAAATCTCAGTGGAAAGGGTTTCTGCTTTCAGTCAGACCTGTCACCACATCCCAGTTCTGTTGTGTGTCCCTGGTGTCATGTGGTGCTGCAGCAAGAATTAGCTGATGGAGGAAAGAGCTGTGGCTTTGCAAAGGCCCTGACCACAGCAGCTCTGTTGGCATCCTCCCCTGCATCCTACTGGTGCTGCAGCCTGGGCTGTGCTGCCCCAGGAGACAGTGCTGTCAGCAGCCCCAGCAGAATTGCTGGGGATGGATCCTATCGAGCCTCTGGCATGCACTTGGCTTTGAGGAACAGAGGAACAGCTCACACACTCAAGACACAGCACATGTGGAGTGGCTGCAGCTTTGGGAATGCTGCAAATTTTCCAGGTCCCTGCTGAGATGTGAGGTCAATGACCACTCTGGCTGTCCCAGACATTGGCTCTTCCAGCAAACATGCAGCCAGGGGCCCCAGCTGCCTCTAGTTCCCCAGGGCTGGTACAAGCACAGCCAAGCCATGCAGGTAGGTTTCCTGAGGGATGCAGTGCTGACTCCTGGCAACAGAGCACGGCCTGGCCCAGTTTGCATTGGGACTAAGCCCTAAGTCGGCAGGGGCAAGCAATGCCTTTACTCCACTTTGAATAGGATGGTTGTTTTCCTGCCTCTCTGGCAGGCTTCTCCCAGCCTCTTCACAGAATCCAGAGAGGGAAAACAGATGGAGCTTTTGGCAATCCCAACTCCAAGATCATCACTAGCAGAGCAGTTGGGTTTTCTCCTCTTCTGAAATGTTTTTCCCTCAGCTGGAGACTCAAACGAGGACCTGGTGCAGGAGAAAGCACCCTCAGCCGTGGTGAGACTCACTCTGGGCAGGGTTGGCCAGGAGAGCTAGAGCTGGTAACTGCAATGGCACTCCCCAAAATTCCAGCACCAGCAGTGGGGCACACACACTTATCCTGTCCAGTGTATTGTCCTGAGGAGAGCTGAGCCCACCTCATCTCGCAGGATGGAATGTCCTGAGGGGACAACCCCAAGAGCATCATGCTGGACAAGAGGGTTACAGGCCTACTGGACAGAGGGACATTTTCTCTTCTGAGTAGCACTTTGAGCAAGAATTGATAAACCAGAGGGGCTGGCACACGCCGTGGCTGGTGTGGGCAGAAAGAGGGGCCACCTGCTTATGCCAAGGGTTGCCTCAATCAGTCAGACACCAGCACTGCTTTCTGTTGTCCCCTTGTCTGCCTGCCCCGACTAAGGCCACAGCCTCCCTCACCAGTGTACACCTGTGCACATCTGTGCACATCTGAGTACATCTGCAGCTGTGAGCATCACCCCAATGCCACGCCACTATGGCAGCACCATCCCGGCTGAACCCACAGCGTGGTGTTGGGCAGCCCCGGCTGGTGGTCCAGGCTGGCTGCAGCCCCGTCGCAGGAGCGGGCTGGCGGCACGAAGGAGCACACAAGGAGCACACAAGGAGCACACGTGTGAGCACACGTCGGCGGGCAGGCCCGGCAGCGCTGGCGGCACCGCAGGCGGCTGAATGCGGTGGCCAGGCGAGCAGGCGAGGTTGCCTAGCGACTCCTGCCTTCGGAGAGGTGCGGCCCCGCGGCGCGCACGGGAGGATGCTGCGCCCACAGACAGCGGGGACCACGGCTCAGTGCCATGGTCGTGCCACCCCAGCCCGAGAAACGTGTCTTGGAGAGGCACAACCACTTCCAAACTGCCCGGCCCCAGTGGGTGCTGGTTGGGAACGGTCCTGCAAATCGCAGCAAATTGGTTTCCAGTGGCAGGGACATCAGTGTGGACAGGGAGACACATCCTGGGTAGCTCCTGTGGGAGCTGTGTGACCCCCAGGGATGGTGGATGCACAAGTGATATTGCATCCCTCACACATGGAGCATGTCCCAGGAGTTCTGCATTCCCCCAGTCCTGCATCCCCCAGGACTGACGCATCTCCAGCCCACCTGGGTTTGCTCCTGCTCTCTGTACATAGAGGGAGGTGATGGTAACTGCGGTGCCAATGATCTGCAGTGCGTTGTCTGCATAATTTCTGGTTTTATTTTGGTTTTTTTTCCCCTAATAGTTCATGGCATTTTCCAGCCTAAGCCTCTCCAGGTGGGGGATTACCCTCCTGTGTGTGTCCTGGGTGCCTGTCCGCCTGCTCCCTGTTTAGGAGGCATAAACCACAGTTTCTCAAACACAATTAGGCAGTGCCTGAGGATCCAGCTCATAAAGAGAGCATCATTAAGGGAGGCAGGAAGGCAAACACAGCCAGTAAAAGCTCATAAAATCTCAGTGTGCCATCCCACACCACTTACAGCTCCCCTAATACCCCTTTGCAGCATAACCAGAGCAACGGGTCCTACCCTGGGGAAGAGGGGGGGGTGGCCTTCCCCTCACTTTGCAAGCAATCTAGAATTAATCTGGGTGTCCCAGGCAACCCTGGGGAGCCAGTAGGTGTGATCCCTCACACCTTAGTTCCAAGGATGACACAAAGCTGCCACAAAAGGACAGCTTTTGGATGACCTGCCCTCCCTTCCACAGGTGCTGCTGGCACCCTGCACTGTGGCTGTGGAGAAAACCTTCTGGCACAGCACTGGGATGCCACCACTGCAGCCTCCTGGTTCCCTCAGTAGACAAAGAGTGGTGGCAGGTCCCTGAGAGATGGAGGTGCAATGATACCCACCAGGCTGGTCGCCACAGCAACCCCGGTGCTGAGCACACTGATGCTGGCATGATGCCATCAGGCTGTGGGTTTGTCACCACAGTGTTGTCATGGCAGTGCTGCTAGAGCCTGAACCAGGCCCTGTCACTTACCATCAGCACCTCTGGCCCCTCCCCACACACAGCCCCCCAGCTCCCACCATTCTCCATGTCTCCCGCCCATGCTCCTGGGGCTCCTGGCACCACACACTGTCCTCTTCCACAAGGACCCTGCCTGGCCTAGGCACTGCACTGTGAGGACATGGCTGACCCTGCTCTGCTTCCTGCCTGTGTAGATAATTTATCATCTGGTAACAGCAGGGCTCGGTGGAGGGAACCTGTGGCTGCTGAGGCCCTGGAGCCCTGCATTGCTCTCACAGGGTGTTGGGACTCGCATCTCCATTGAGAATCTCAAACTGCCACGAATCCCAAAACACAAACTGCTGAGCATCCAGAACCACTGCACATCATCATGAAGTCCTCAGTTCTGTACATGCTGAACCACTGCACGTCCTGACCCATGGAGCACCCCAAAGCTCCTCACAGCCCAAACTTCTGCTCGTCGTTCTCACATCCTGAACAGCTGAGCATTCCAAACCACCAGGCATTCCGAAGTGTTGAGCGTCCTGAGCTGCCAAGCATCCTGAGCTGCCACATACCCCAAACCACTGCTCATTCCAAACCACTGTGAGTCCCAAAGTACCACGCATCCCAAACCCCTCTCACCTCTCGCACACACGGACTGTCCATGCAGCAATGATCCAGAGGGAAATGCTGAAGACCAGCAGCACGGTCCCAGGGCAGATGGTCATGAGTGTCTTCATGACAAAGCGGGTGTTGAAGTTAATCTTGTTGAGTGCCCCAATGCTGCGTGAGGAGGCATCAGTGAAGAGCTTGCTGTGCAGCAGCATCACCCGAGCAATCAGGTAGAGGCGCAGGAACATGGGGATAGACAGGATGATGTCCACATCAGCCTCTGCCCGAGAAGGTGTGTAGGAGAAAGCCAGGCGAGCTGTCCAGAAAAATTTGTACTCCCCAGGAATGGGGTGTATGGCACAAACCAGCATCTCCAGGCTGATGTAGAGGATGCGCTCGTAGGTCATTGCTATCCGCCAGTCGTCAGCTCCATTGTCGATCACAAAGAGCTACCAAGATGCAACACCATGTGGTTACTAGTGGCCCCACACAAGTTGCCCACTGGCATCCCTCCCTCCACAGGCAGTGGGGGTCTGACATCAAAGCCAAGAGGAGCTGGGTGTGGCTCAGCCAGAAGTGCTGAAGGGGATGGATGGAGAAGAAAGACATGAGATTCTGTCACCACCGACCTCTCTGCTGCCCTGCTAGTGTGTGTCAGGGATGGTCACATTGCAGGGGACACCAAAAGCTTTAAGGTGCCTAGCCTTGGGCACACACCCAGGCACAGCATGGTGACAGCTCACTCAAAATCTGGCTGGCAGGAGCCCACCTCCTGGAATGTCCCCCTCATCCAAGTCACAGAAATGGGCAAGCCGTGGTGGCACAGAGCATCAGCATGAGCCACCCCAGTCCCTCTGCTCCTGGTGCTGCACTGATTTCACTGACAGTCATGACACCCTGAGTGCCAGAGCAATATCTGGGCAGTGAACGCCACAGTCAGAGCATCCAGCTGCTGGCAGAGATGGGATTCAGTTGTCATGGCAACTGATGGTTCATCCTGGGTACACCAGCTCCTCTCTCATCATCAGTGATGGAGTTGGGGTCTCTGCAGGAGCTGGGAAGATGGCAGCTCAGTTGGCCTCTCTGGGATGCCACCAGAGCCCTGGGAGTCACCCACCCTGTCCTGTCGGCAGGGCTGTCCTGAGGCTGCCATCAGCTTCTGCCTGATGTGACAGGGACACCAGTATCACCCACAGCAGCAGGGATGTGCTCAGGGCCTCTCTGCAAGCAGCACTTGGCAAAGAAACCAGCAGGAAGGGATCCAAGGGGGATGTGGCAGCTGGTGCTGCTGTCCGCGTCCTCAATCCTGCAAGCATGAAATGATGCTGGCTCGCTCACAGATGCCAGGGCTGCACACAGCCAGGGCAGCGGATGAGAGGTGGGTGGGGAGCATGGCCCCAGCTGGCACTGAGCCCAGGAACAACCCTCCTGCCCTGCCAGAGGCCCCAGTACACCTGTGCCAGCCATCTCACTAGCACGGCATGGCACTTGGGGCTGTCCCTGGGGATGGCAGGAGCCACTGGGACTGACTCACGGAGTGGCTGTCCCAGCCACCTCCCTTTCTGTAGGGAAAACTCTGCTCCTTTTAGCTGCTTTGTTTGAGAAATTGTTTACAAAAATGCTCCAAGCTGTCAAGGGAGATCCTCAGGCATTTAGCAAGCTGACAGCCTATTCCTTCCTGGAAAAGGGTGTTAAAATAAACAAATTAGCAAGCGGAAAAAGGCAGGAGCCTTTTGACTGCATGATGGGGGGTTGCCATAGGCCAGGGAAGGGAAGGAGCAAGAGAGGACTTGGGCAGGATTCCCCTGAGCCAGCCCCTCTCAGTTCCGTACCTGTAAAGCATCAATGCAGGTTTCCATGGAAACCTAGTGTGGTTCAGTGGTACCCAAGGGGGCATTCCCCAACATATCCAGCATCACTGGCTCCAACAGGGGAAGGAAAAGGAGTGTCGGCCACCACTTCTCCAGAAAAACAAAGCCCAAGAAAAGCTATCGAGACACCTCCTGGGGACTAAAGTTTCACCAAAAGCATAAACAGCCCCAGGCTGTTGTTATCCAAACATTGGGATGAGGGATCTCCGCCACCCCCCAAAAAACCCGACCTTGGCGAGAGCTGGCAGCATTGCCAGAACTGCTCTCCTTCATGTGAGGTGATGATAATGTGGTGCTGGCAGAGCATGGCATGTTCTGCCCTAGGCACCAGAGACATCATTGGCGTGCCGAGTGATGCCTCAGGCTCAGAGAAACTGAGGCACAGGAAGACCTTCAAGTCTAATTAACACAATTAGTAGGAGAATGGAATCACAAACTGGTTTGGGTTGAACAGGACCTTAAAGTTCATCTCATTCCACCCACTTGCATGAGCATGGACACCTTCCACTAGACCAGATTGCTCCAAGCTCCATTCAACCTGGCCTTGAACACTTCCAGTGACTGAGGCAGCCACAGCTTCTCTGGGCAAGAAAGGAAGGCGGAATCCTGAGGGAAGAGGCTGAAGTCATCGTTTTCCAGAGGCTGGGAGGGCTGGCAAGTGCCATGGCCAAGGGAGCACAGTCCCCCACCTCGGCCAAGAGGTACAAGAAGTTGAGGATTTACAGCTCTGGCAGCCCCATTCCATTTCAGTTGGATTATCAGCAATTCCTTCATAACACTTCCTAACACTAGGGCAACATGCAGCCAGCACAGCTTTGTTGGGAGCAGATCAAGTCAAACTCATCTAATTCCCTGTCTTGACAGTGTAACTGGCCTGGCAGAGCAGCTGGGACCATGGAGAGGTTCAGACCCCATGTGCAGAGGGACAGCAGTGAGATTTTGGCTGTGGTCAAGGCAGGAGAGGTAGGATGACCCTTGTGCTGCCTTGGGTGGATGTTGTGTTTGCACAACCCACTGCCAGGAACAACAAGCAGAGGAAACAGTGAGCACCGGGGGCATGGCTCACCCGGCTGACCCCAACCACCGTCATCCTGGGGTAAATATTATTCCAGCAAGAACCAAAGCTCTCAAATATTTGCCTTGAGTAACTCACCCCCAGGCTTCGTCCCCATGCGGGCAGGCTGAGCTGGAGTGGGGACTGCAGGGACAGAGGCAGGCAGGGAGTGGGATGCCAGCCCCCTATATGGCAAGGCCCCTCTGTCCCCCAGCCCCAGGAGGGGCAAGGTGGGATTATGGTGCACTCAGGGCCAGGGGCTTTGACATCCCTTCCCAGGATGCTCCTTCTCCTGACTGGTGATTCATTCTTCCCATGCCCAAAACAGGCTGGCATTGTGCCGAAGCTAGGTTGCACAGGGAAGCACAGCCTTCCTGGAACAAACTGGGAGTCCTTTAACTTCCCAGGGAGGAAGAGAGTGCGCAGCCCTGATTAGGAAAGGATTTTGTGGCTTTCCTTGGCACTTTGACTGGCCTGAGCCCTTCCTGGCTATAGTCTCTCCCAGCCACCACCATATCTGCCAGGCACCTGGGGCTCAGACAGACCCGTTGATGACTGGCCTGACTGTCCCCCAAGAACCCTCACTGCCCCCCAAAACCCTGACAAAGAGGAAGAGGCTCCAGGGTGGAGCAGGATGTGAGCTCAGGTACTGTGTCCCACTCAGGTGGTTGGCAAACCCCACAGCACACTCCAGCACCCCTCGATGATGCCAGGACCTACCTGCACCTCCCGTGTGTGATAGGCGATGATGAGGCCCAGCAGGATGACAGTGGAGAGGCTTATAAGGCATTTCAGGGCCAGGGAGAACATGGAGTCCTGCAGAGTGAAAGCAGGAAAGGCATTAAGGGGTACACAGCTGTGGGACTCTGCTGGCACTGGATTCCACACCCTAAAGAAAATACTGCCCCCCAACACCTGCAATCCCATCCTCAACAGCACTTTTGCTGCTTCAGCTTCCCCCCTAAGCAGCTTAACACAGTAGTAAGGGCACCATCAGTACCATCAGCATCACTGCCACCACTGGTACCACCAGCACCACGTGCCCTCTCTCCAAACCTCTTTTTAAATTCTATTCTGCTTATTTAATTCTGAGTGCAGCTCCCAGCCTCCCCTCTGAGATGTGCAATGCCAGTGCCCTGGCCTCATCTAGCCTGAGCCCAGTATTATGGTATCCAAACAGATGATCTAACTAGACCCTCCAGCTAATCGGTCTTATGTAAATTAAACCAGCCCCTGATTCACTGATGGCTGAACTGGCAGGTCCCCAGGACCCCACTGGGAAAAGCAGGATTCACTGTTCCCTTTGGATACTGGTAAACTCATGTGTGTGCCAGCTACAATCCAGCCCTACTGATGCTAGGGCATTGGCAGCCCTTCACCAAGATGTTATTCCCAAACCAGCCCACCCTTACAACGCACCCATCCCACACCTCCCCACCATCCCCAACATGCTGAGCCCCAGCATGGTGACCCATGGCACACTCATGGCATGCTGAGACCTGGCATACTCATGGCATACTGTCCTTGGCTCCCCAGTGTGCTGGGCTGGCTTTGGTCTTGTTTGGCTCCCTCTCCCCAGTGTTCCTCATCTCCACAGGGTGTTTGCACGCAGAGAAGGGACTATTTGCTGTGGAGGCGGCGCCGCATTGTTAACAACTTGGCTCTGGCTGTGCAATTGTGTGGATATAATGGCTGGTGCTAAGAAAAGTGCTGGGACTAAACACTACTATTAACAGGCTAACTCCGGGGCAGCATTGTGCCAAGGTGGCTCTGGTGAGACCCTTCCCAGGGGCACAAAACCTGCATGGGCACCCCCTTCCTCACTTGGCAAATGTTACACGACGTTTACCAATGCCTCCTGCCTGAAGAGACCTGTCAGGAAGTGTCATTCCTGGATTCCATGCTTGCAGCAAACAACATGGGGTCTTGGCAGAAGTGGGGAAAGACCTTGGCACCCCTGGAACATGTCCTGCCCCACCACGTGGATGGCAGGATACTTCTCTCTGGTAGTGCTGCACACATGGTGGGAAGCAGCAATATTGTCCTGTGGGCAGGAGAGGCCCTGTTCTGCCCACAGTCAATTGATAAGCAGAGAGCAGGGAAAACCTGGCCAGTGTATCCTTGCTTCCAGCTCAGCTCATCCTGTGGCTGGGATCAGGCTGTGGCATGGCTGGGGCCATGGGGCAGAGCTGGAGCTGCACTGACATCCCCATGTATACAATGACAGCCAGCCCTGATCACATGCACTCCCACACTCACGGTCACGTCCCTGCCAGTGAGTTCTGGTTTCTCACTGGGGGCTGCTGTGGGGGGGGGGGAATTTATATACAGCTGCTGCAAATCTGGCCAAGGGCCTGCAGAGGCCGGAGCCAGGAACTCTCCTGCACTCTGTGGTTGTCAGCACAATTGTTTGTGTCACAGTGGGGCAGGGGCGTAGCAGCGTGTCACAGCTGCTGCATGGCAGCAGCGCTGACTCACAGGGTCTTCCCCAGCTGACACAGCAGCTCAGCGTGGTGGGGCCAGCGAGCATGGCAGCGGTGCTGCTGGCAGCTTGCTAAGGGTGGACAGTCCCCTGGTACCAGGCATGCAGGCACACGGAGCCTGCGAGGGTGGCTGCAACTCAACAGGTAGCAAATGCAGGTGGGGGATGGTGGTTTGGCTTTGCTCCTGCCAAAGGGGAGTGGGAACCACCAGATAAAGGCTCTGGCATTGAAGCATCTTTCTTTCTCGGCAAGGATGCCAGGGATGTCAGCTTAGTACTAAGGCATGCCTCTGCCTCAGACAGAGCAGCAGAACTGCTGCCCGCAGCCACCACATGCCCACTGACCCTGGCAGCCATGGAAAGACGGGGCTCAGGACGCCCCCCCCCGCCCCAGGCACCTCGGTGAGGAGGCAGAGGGCTCCCCAAACCACAGGACCCCCCCCCAGCGACTTGCCTCCCTTCCTCCACCTCCTCTGCTCACCCTGCCCTCCCCACTGCCCATGCCGGATAATGGCAGGAAGTGGTGAACAGCCCCTTCCCACCCTGCTCCTTCCCCTCCATTGACAGCATCACGGCAAGGGGACCCCCGCTGGCTGCACCCCAGCCCCCTCAGCAGTGCCGTCCCGCTGACGCCCATGGGTGCTGGTGGGGGTGCCGATGCCTTCCCCTCTCTGGATAGGTATAAATAACATGACAGATGTCTATACAAAGAGTTATTCATATCACTGCCAACCAGCGCAGCCCGGGAGCAGGAGCTGGAAGGGACCGGGGGGGGGGGGGGGACCCTGGGGGGGGGGAGAATTATAAATAAAAGGCACTGTCCTGCAAAAAAAAAGAGGAAAAAAAAGGGCAGGAAGGGGTGTGGGGGAGGAGGCGGAGGAGGGAGGGGGTGCTTTGCTGCACTGCCGGGGGCACAGTGCTTTTGAGCAGCGAACTGACATGCCAGCAACAGGCACCACAGACCTCAGTGGGTCGGTGACTGCTGCTACAAGTGCATGGGGCAGGACTCAACAGAGCAGCCACCAGCATATAGTCCCCACACCTCCAGCCGGGTGGTCACCCTGTCCGACACCTGTGGCTGCAGCATCCACTAAAGCTCTGGGAACATCCTGTCAAGTCACCAACCAGCCTATCCACTCCAGATGGGCCAAACAGCTCCATATTTATCCTATGGGATGGATGGGGCAAATGGCTCCATTCTCACCCCACCGGGCACTATCTGGTGCCACCAGCCCCACACACACCCCCCTGGCCCCCTTGGTACCTTGGAGTAGAGCCCCCAGGAGAGCTCGGTCTCAATGACCATGACGACAATGCCAAACATGCCGAAGATGAGCGCGTAGTCACTGAGGCGCTTCCTCTTCTCGAACAGTGCCCGGCGGTGCCCAAGCCGGTAGCCAATGTTCTGAGCCTTGCGCTTGGGCCCCTTGGCAAAGGTGGTGGGAGCCGGCCGGGCAGGCGGGCGGGTGGGACGGTGGGTGGCGGGAGCATGGTTGTCCTCCCGTGAGACAACAATTTCAGGGGGATCACCGGCACCAAAGAGCTGCAGGGGTTGTGCCTCCGGCTCGGCCTCGATGAGGTTCCGTCGGGATGCGCTGAGTCGGCTCAGGGGCTTCATCACCCCTCCGCTGTACTTGCAGGAGCTCATGGCAATCTCGGTGAAGGGGTTGCTGTCCCGCCGATGAACCAAGGGGCTGGGCTGCCGGTGTTTGCTGCTAGCCACCCCAGAGCCCGCTGGGTGGTCGCCGAGGTTGAGCTGGCTACCGTGGCGGGAGGAAGGGTGGAGGGCGGCGGGGGCGGCGGGAGGAGGAGGAGGGGCCCGTAGCGACCCGGGCGAGGAGTGCAACAGGCTGTGCTGGAGCGGCGGCAGCGCGGAGGGCGGCGGCGGTGACCGTTCATCCCCCGGTAACGGGCAGGGACACCGACCATCCTCCTCCAAGTCCCCCACGCCCGAATCGTGGAGATGTCCCGATGTCTCCATGACGGCGGTACCGGCGCCGCTTTACAGGGCACCGGTTCCGCTTTACTTGCCACCGGCCCCGTTCGCTGGATCATGAATGGGCTCCGTGCTCTCGCCGCTATCGCCGCCGCCACCGCCCCCGCCGCTGCCGCTGGCCCGGCCCCGCAGCGCCATTGGCCACGCTGGGGCTCCCCGCAGGCTGACATCATCCCCGCCCGCTCCCCGCTTTGTATCTCCCCCTCCATCACACCCCCGGTTCCTGCATCTCTGCGGGGTCGTTCGGGATTGTAGTGCACCGGGTTGCACCGGGCGCCAGTACCCCCGTGCGTCCCGACGGACAAGTCCCGAAAGACCCCTCATCTGTTTAACCCATTGGGCTCCCCCACGGGCATCCCTCCTCCTTTTATATAATCCCTCTTAATCCGTTTATAGAGGCTGGAGATTACGAGCAGCAGCTGGAGCAGGTGCTCCCATCCTGGGGCTGGGTCACCCCCAAGGATGGGGGGCACGATGTGTGCGTCTCAGGAGGTCCCCAAGGTCGGGGTCAGGGTAATGGTAGACCCAGAGTATGGGATACATACGTATAGATGTATAAAGGGCCCTAATCCCCCCTCAACACTCGCAGCCCACCCGGGAACCACCACCGCCAACCCCCACCCCCCTCCGAGCCCAGCTGTTGCTGGAGAGAGCAGATATAAGTGTATGAGTTTGGGAAGCAGATAAGCTGTAGGGAATTGCTAGAAACCTTATTAAAAGATACTAGGGCAGCTAGAAACCTCATTAAAAGACACCATGAAACATCCAGTTGGTGACCCCCCCCTGCTTGGACAGAAGGTATTGAACTGCACTTCTGCCTCCCAAAAGCTGGGAAACCCATGGAGGGGGTGGGGCAGGATCACCTGTGTGTCCTTTCCCCAGGAATGAGACACAGGCCCAGTGTGGCAGCGGTTGTCAGTGTCAGAGCTTTATTCCAGACCAGGAAACATTAGCAGGAGCTGGAGGGGGAGATGCTGAGGGGCTGGAGAGAAGGGGAGGATGATGCAGTCCCCAAGCCCCAGTCGAGAGACATGGAGCTATAGGCTACTGCGGAGTGACTGCACCAGCATCTCCAGCTGCTCACCCAGGGCCACCTTATCCCCGTCATTGGTGATCACCCAATCAAAGGCCACTCCCTGGTCCAGGCCACACTCAGATTCAGCGTCGTCCACCCCTGGTAGCACAGAACCCAGGGAGGCCCCAAGGATGGTCAGGATATGTTTATCTGTACCCCTCATCATGACCTCATCCCCCAGAGCTGGGGGCCTTGATCCAAAGCCTCTTTCTCCCACTGCCAAGGAATGGTAGTGGAGGCAGCAGACCTGTGCCCATTGGGCAACCCCAGTTTTGGTGTCACACTAGGTGAAGCTGCCCCTCACTTGCTCACCAGTGACAAAGACCCAGTTCCTCCTCTTCCTTGTCTCCTCAGTAGCCACCACCCGCACAGTCTGCACCGCATCCCCATAGGCATCCCGGAACCACTCCACATCCGAGAGGCGCCGTGTGTCACTCACCACCTGCACAGGGGCTCCATCAGCACTTGTGCTGTCCCCAGTGCCCCTGTGAACTCCCCAAAACTCACCCACACTGGCTGCAGTGCCCCCTCGACTGCTGCCCGGCAGAAGAAGCCAGGGTCAACTTGGCGCTTCTCCTCGCCCCAGCGGATCATGTCCTGACGGAACATCTCCTTGTAGGTGCTGGCATCCAGGAGTCGCTGAAAGTCGAGACCATGCTCCTGTGGGGAAGGGGGTTCAGTAGCCATGTCCTGGGCCAACAAGCATGGCATGGCACGGCATAGCCATGGCTGTTGTGACATGCCATGCCTCAGCACAGCCAGGTGGAATGGGGTGGCTCAGTACAGCATAGCACGCAAAAGCTTGGCACAATGCGGTACAGCATGACTGTGGGATGGCACAACTTGGCACAGCATGTCCTGACATAGCTTGGTGTGTGGTAGCATGGCAGAGCTCAGCACAGCATGGCAAAGCATCAGATGGCACAGCACAGTGCAGCAGGGCAGGGCACAGCTCAGCACTGTAGTACGGCATGAGCATGGGAAGGCATAGAACTGCAAAGCACACACTCTCGCACATCTCAATGTGGCATGGCATGTCAGTGTGGTACGCTATGATGGTGAGATGGCACAGCATGTGAGATGGCACAACTCAGGACGGTGTGGCTCTGTCATGGTTGGTACGGTATAACCGTGGCACGGCACAGCACGGCAGTGCCCGGCACAGCTCAGGACGGTGTGGTTCTGTCATGGTTGGTACGGTATGAGCGTGGGATGGCACAGCACGGCACAGTGTCCGGGCACAGCTCGGCGGGGTGTGACAAGGCTCGGCGGTACCTTGGCGTACTGCTCCTTGAGGGGCCCGGAGAGGCGCAGAATGGTGCAGACGTCGGGGCCCAGCCTGTGGGAGAGGGGTAAGCGGGACGGGCACTGGCACTGGCTCCACTCGGCCAAGTCCCAGCCTCCCTATCCTCCGGTACTATCCGCACACCCCGTGCCTTCCCCGCCCACACTCCGGGCCGAGTCCCGCCCCGCCCGGTACCGGTTCCGCAGCTCCTCGGCCACGAAATCCTTCCCCGATTTCCTCTTCCCGCTCAGCAGCAGCACCACGCGCGGCGCCGCCATCGGCGCCTCCGGCCCCGCCCATGGCCCCATTGGGCCCGCCCATGGCCCCATGGGCCCCGCCCACGGCCCCGCCCAAATGGCCCCGCCCCCGACGGGACCCCCGTCTCACGGCGCCCCCTCCCGGAAAGAGCCAGCACGGCAGCGAGGGTGCCCGCGAATCCCCGCGGGGATATGGCGGGTCCTGCCCCCCAGCATCCTGTCCCCCCAGTATCCTGTACCCCCCAGTAGCCTGTACGCCCAGCACCCTTTACCCCTATTCCGTACTCCCAGCATCCTGTACCCCCAGTATCCTTTACCCCCAGTATTCCGTACTCCCAGCGTCCTTTACTCCCAGTATTCTGTACCCCCCAGTATTCTGTATCCCCCAGTAATCTGTACCGCCCCAGTATCCTGCCCCCCAGTATCCTGTACCTCCAGTATCCTGTACCCCCAGTATTCCATAACCCCCAGTATTCTGTACCCCCAGCATTCTTTACCCCCAGTATTCCATACGCCCCAGTACCCTGTACTCCCAGCATCCTTTACTCCAAGTATTCTGTACCCCCAGTATTCCATATCCCCCAGTATCCTCTACCCCCAATATCCTTTACTCCCAGTATTCTGTACCCCCTGTATTCTGTACCCCCAGCATTCTTTACCCCTAGTATTCCATACGCCCCAGTACCTTGTACTCCCAGCATCCTTTACCCCCAGTACCCTGTACCCCCAGCACCCTGTACCCCCAGCAACCCTCTGCTCCCTATCCTCCCCTTCCCCCAGCACCCGCACCTCCTCCTCACACCCTCCATTCTCCTCTGAAACTCCCTTTCCCCAGCACCCTGCTCCTCCCAACATGCCCTTTCCTCCCAACATTTGCATTCCCTCAGCACTCTTCCCCCTACTTATTGCACTTCTGCACTCCACTTTCTTCCAGCATCCATTTCCCCCTATACCCCCTTTTCTCGCTGAGTACCTTTCCTCCTCAACATCCCTATGCCCCCTCAGCACCCCACTTTTCAACTGCCCCTCACTTCCTCCAGCACTTCCCTTTCCTCTTCGCTATTCCTCCTCTAAATCCTCATTTTCCCCCAGCGCCTCCAATAGCCTTTCTTCTCCCCCAGCAACCCCCTTCCCCTCTAAAAGACCGTATTCGTCTCTGCCCCCCCTTTTCACCTGCACCCCCTTTCCCCCAGCAGCCCTTCCTCCTCCCTGCACTCCTTCCTTCCCTCTCACAGCACCTTCTTTGCCCACACCATTCGTCCCTTCTGCTCTCCCCTTATTTGCCCTATTCCCCCTCTGAATCCCCATTTTCCCAGCTCTCTTCCCTTAGCACCCTCCCTTCCCCCCATCCCCAGCATCATTTTCCCCACACCCACACAGCTCTGCCCAGTGGTAACTTTATTCATGGTGGCAGTGCAGCATCACACAGTGCATTTGGTGGAGGATGTGGCCCTACTTCTACTTGGCCCTACAGGGAACAATGGTAGCACCCAGACCCCCACAAAGAGCACGTGGGGAGCCCTTGCGTGGGGGTGCTGGCACACTACTACACTTGGTTCTACCCACGCGTGCCATGCTGCCTTGGGGCTCTCTGGCTCCACACGTTCCCGGAGGTGCTGCAAGAGAAGGGGAGGTGTGATGGTGTGCAGGAGGGGGGAATCCCTGGGGGCCCCCAGCACCACCCACCCCAGCTCACCCACTGTAGTGCCGCAGCATGTACTCCTCGAAGCCATCAACTGCCTTCTTGTTGCCCCACTCCTGCCACGCCACCTCCTCAAGCAGCTCCTCCACATCATCCACAAAATCAACAAACCGCAGGCGGTCGTGGGCAAAGACACCGTCAGCCCTAAAGGCCCCATCAAGCTGCGGTGCCAGCCTTCCGAATTGTCTCCCCAAGCCCAGCTTCCCCATGAAGCTCTCCAGCAGCTGCAGGAATTGCACCTTCTGCACCGGCTCCAGTGCAGCCCCAAGCACTTCCTGGCCTTCCTTGTGGGCACAGTCTGTCACCCCAGAACAGCCCTGTGGTGCCCGGTACCGCCTGAGCCGGGGCAACTCACGGGAACCATGCTGGGGGTGGCTGTGAGACAGCTTCCCCCAGGCTTTGCCTGGCTTGTGTTCACGGGGGGCTCGGGGATCCTTCTTGTGGGGTTTACCATGTTCTCTCCTCTCCTGCTCATGGGGGGACCCCCTGGTGCCATGCTGTTTGTGCCACCTGTTCTCCTTCTCCACCTTGAATGGCTTCTTCCAGGATGTAGAGAAGGATCCCAACCCCTCCGCCTCCAGCACCTGGCCCAGGTGCTGCTCCAGGGTGCTCAGTTCCTCCACGAGCCCCTTGAGATCGCCAGAGCCCCGCACACGGTCCAGGGCGTCCGCAAGCTCCTGCCGCAATGAATGCAGACTGCCGTGCTGCCGTGCCGCGGCCTTGCCGTGCACTGGCGCAC